TTTCGTTAAATAAAATAATCAATTGGTGATTTATATATTCGATGAAAATATTATCAAAGAACTATGACATTCATAATTTCAGTAGTATTTTGTCTTTTATATTCAAATTGAATCTACTGTGATAGGATCAATTAGTAGAATAATGACCAAAACTACATTACTTTGTTAATAGCTTTTAGATTTCAAAATTCGATCACTATCTCATGAAACTAGCACCAAAATATTAGTTTCAACATATTCTTTCCGTTCGTATATGATTTAGTGAAGTTGGCCAAAAAAACATTATTGGGTCAATTTGGCCTATTATATACTGTCGTCCTTGTTGGTAGTTATTAGTTTCTCGATGTATCTTACTTGTAGTAAAATAAGCATGAAATATAGGTTGTTTTCACTGTAATTTTACAGACAAAAAGACAAATAACGATATGACATACCATGAACAAAAGACTATTTTGCTTATGTACAAATATATACTTCGCTAGATTTTTACCTTCGATTAATGAGACAAAAAGAAACAAACTAGGACTTAACAATAAATAAATATCGATACGAAAATGATTGATAGTAAACCAAGAAAAAAGTCATTAGTATTTGTCAAGCATATACGTCTGAATTTGGTGCATAACGCGCAGACTAAATAGATATCGGCGATGATTATAACTATAATATATTACCTTAGTGTATGAAGTAAACTAATGTAAAATATCAAAAGAATAAATTGTGATGTAATCATGATCTTTTTAATTTAATTGCAATATTTGATTTGTTTTCCATATATTAAGAAAAACGTTACAATAGATTATCTAATGAAATAAATTTAATTTCAAAATTGTAGAGAAAAAAAAATATTCGATTACTTTCAGAATTAAACAGATAGTTTTGCTTTTTCAAATATGATTCTTCTTTTAATGATTCTTTTCCTTTTGTTTATTTTCATTAGATACTTTACATCAGTGTTATAAATTAAAATCGATATTATTCATTTAAAATGTTGAAATATATACTTAATGATCAAAACTTTGTTTGTTATGTTTTACCATATTTATGGTTTATTAATTCTTTTATTGTAATATTTTGTGAACTAGTTTTGAATATTAAAGCTCCTTATGGACGTTATAATACGAACAATAGTGGAGTTCCAGCTCGTCTAGCTTGGTTTATTCAAGAACTTCCATCTTTCATGATACCATGCTATCTTTTATATTATCATTGGTCATCGGTATCGATAACTAAATTTATAATAGTCGGCTTATTTCTAATACATTATTTTCAAAGGTATGTTTAAATGTGACGCAATGATAAAAATCACATATATAAACTAATATAAGTGAGATAGAATTGTTTTTTCTTTATTGAACTGATCATTTAAATACGTAACAATGCCCAAAATCGAGAGAACGAAAGAGAAAAAAACTCAAAAGAAATCGAGAGAAAGCATATCATACGAAAAATACGTATATATATATAGAGGAAGAACGAAAAGAATGATTATACGCTAGAATAAATACCAGAAAAAGTACAATCGTTTAAATACACATTATATCGATCGAAAAGAAAGAATATAAGTGTTTACGCACACGCCGATAGTTTACAATCATACGCATATAACCGTTCGATATTATCTTTTGATCAAAAAAAAAAAAAAATGAAGAGATTCGTATTTTTTATTTTTACTTTCTATTTATTTATGTAATGAAGAGTCTTCATCTTTCCTATATTAATTCGTGGTGGAAAACATAGTCCATATTTAACTACAATATTAGCATTCATTTTTTGTTATTTAAATTCTTATGCAATTGTCGAAGAAATTTTGGCATATCATATTTATCCAAATGATTATTTACTTTCATTACGTTTTATATCTGGTATGATGATTTTCTTTATTGGTTTTATTCTTAATCTTCAAGCGGATTCAATTTTAAGAAATTTACGTAAAGATAATAATCAACGTGATTATCAAATTCCAAGAGGTAATAAAGAAGAAAAACAAAAGATTGTTATTTTTTAGATATAAATTTAATGTGTATATTTTTTTTTAAAAAGGCGGTCTATTCGAATATGTTTCTGGCGCGAATTTTTTAGCTGAATCTATCGAATGGACAGGTTATGCTATTTGTGCATGGACATTACCTGCATTTGCATTTTCAGTTTTTGTATGGGTTAATATTGGAATCGGTCGTGCTATTCATCATCACCAGTATGTGTAAAAAGAAATATTGATATTATATTTAATTATTCAATTATATTTAGATTTTATCTTGAAAAATTCAAAGATGAATATCCAAAAAATCGAAAAGCTATTATACCATTTATTTTATAATTGACAATGTTTTATTTTTCTAATTTAATAAATTATTATTATTTATTTTTTTACTTTAAATACATAATCTGGCTAGATTCTATTATCGATTATATATATTTTAGATGCCTCCTGGTCGAAAAAGTATTAGTACAAGTAGTAAATCTTCATCATCAACAAGTGGTCAACATTCTTCATCACAATTTCTATATGGTAAATAAATAAAAGATTTATCTTAATATTGTTTAATATTCAATTAAAATTTATTAGATTGTGGTAGTGTTGTATGGTGTAAATATAAAAAATACCCATATTGGCCTGGTATAATATGGGAAAAAACACATAAACCAACTCGAACTCTGTATGAAGTACTTTTCTTTGGAACATTTAGTCTTGGCTTGTAAGTAAAAGTCTTTTCATAAATTATGTAAAAAAAAAGAAAGTTTTCTTTTTAATTTAGAGGTATTGATCGTAAATGGTTAGAACCATATGAAGGTGTTGCTGAATTTAAAAAACGTATTACAGAATTAAAAGCTTCTGAAGTATGAAATTCTATTATTATTTTTTGTGGAAACTCACACATAGATTTTCGAAGAAAGTTCACTGGACATTATTCATATTGCAAAAAAATATCACTGTCGTTTCTTTTTTACCGAATTCTCACACTGTTGTGCACTGTGATCTTTATTGCAAATCTTGGCAATTGAAATTGAAACTTATTGAATAAGTTTTCGTACCAATCGCAGAAGTAAATCAATCATTTTATTACTGTCGTGACTCGTAGTTACTCAGACAAAAATTAGAGGTTTGCACAGCCAAGAACATCAGTTGAAGTTCTCAAATGAAAGAGAATAGCAAGCAAAGTATAGAACATGAAATTAAGGTACTAATATTTGCATTTCGAATAGTGAGACAATGTTTAATGTACGACAATGTATATAAATTCTACATTTTGAGCCTCAAAGAGGCTGCGTTAATAAACTTTTTCTTTTTTTATTAAAATCTCAATTTTATTTAATAGATCATTATTAAAAATAAACCAAGTCAATATGATATGAATATAACATTAGCAAACTTAGAATCATTTCAAGAAGCAGTAAAACAAGCTGCAAAAATTCTTAAATGTTCGAATCTTTCCGAAAGACTTGAACTAGCTGATAATATGCGTAAAGGTGTAACATGTGATTTTTTTCAACTTGATTTTGATGATGATAATGATGCTGATAATGAAGACGAGCATGATGAAACAAATTCAAATATTGTCGAAGGTAATAATAAATTATTATGTTTTTTTTTTTTCCTTTTTTTCTTTCTTGTTTTTTTATTAAAACATAAGAATCATTTAGATTCAATTGCATCAATGCCACCGTTACAAAATGATCAACAATTTATTCAAACAATGATGAGTCAAGGAAAAAAAAAGCGAAAATTGGAAGATGATACAAATTTATCAAATACAAAAATACGTCGAATTACTATTAAAAATGAACCTGAACAAGTAATTTTGAATATAAATAAAAAAAAACAAAAAAAAAACCATTTTGTTTTATTTTCTTTTTCTAAAGCCATTAAACAATTCCCTACCGTCTATTTTATTTCGACATGCAACCGATCAACCAATTGTAATGTGCTCAAATTTTGTTTGTCATAGTTTATCACCAACTGAAGAAACATTTATATTAGATGCAATAGTACGTTCTGGTCCTGATTGTACATTTTTTCAAGCTAAACAAATAGCTGAAGAAACATATTCAAATATAATTTGTGTTAATAATTCTAATCGTCCTTTGCCCGTTAGTGAAGTATGGTTCTATTTATTTTTCTATCTACATTTTGAACAATTATTTTCAACACATCCTCATTGGCTTGATGATCTTGAAAAAGCAAAAACAAATATAAATTATCTATATGAACAGCAACAGCAAATAATTCGTCTTATGAAAACTTATCTCAGTTAAATATATCTGTTTCCTTTTTGTTGTTGTCTTTCTTGTGTGAGTGTGTATATATATATATAAATATGCGTTGTATATCAGAAAACTATTTTGTATGATCTGGATAATTAAAGAAAAGTGCGAATAGGTCAATACATTGAATAAAATATTATAGATGCTCATTGTCTTTTGTTATTGTTTTTGTTTTCCTTTTTCTTTTGGTTCTATATCTATATATATTTTCGATTTAAGATGACAAACAATAATAATAATAATATAGATGATATAAGATGGAAATTATTAGATAAGGAACGATTTCAATCGTTTTTTGATTCTGATGGTCGACTTGTGAAGGAACATGAATTTAGAAAAGCAGTTTTCAAAGGTGAGAGGTAAGTCAGTGTAATAGAAATGTTGAGAGAAAATATTTAATATTTATTCATCAATAACATTCAAAGCAATGTATCATCCAGATTTTGTCTTTCGTTGGAGCGATTTAAAAGTTCGGGAGGGTCAATTCGATCTTCGATGGAACGCTACTCTCTCAGTCGTCACGGTTGATAAAACACTGCTTAAAAATCTTCATATTGTTATTCCGAACTACATAACACAGTGGGCGATTTCTATCAAACATGTGGACATGACTTATCTTCTGTCAAAAATGAATTTTTTTTCATAGAAAAGACCATTTGAAATGAAAAATCTCTGAGAAGGATTGTTACTCCAAAATTGCTGTGAGAAACCTTTTTATTTTAAAAACTGTCAAATGGTATACCACTCGACGTAGATTTCCACACTAATTTTAAATATGTCTTTATTTTTTCTCTCCAATTGCTTCTGTGATAAAAAAAACGCAAAAAATCTTTAAAAACCAAGATTTTTAGAAAATCTATATCTTAGTCTAGAAGCATTTGCACATCTTTTATGTTAACTAAGTCTATATTCCAGATATAGAAGAACAGTCTCTGGAAGTTTCATCGATAGCGAATTAATGAAAAAAAGTGGCGACCAACTTTAACTGAAGATGTCATTTGGGAAAACGCGTAGCGTAAAAGAAAAAATGATTATTTTTCTAGGACGAAAGCTTTTCTTATAAATTGATCGAGCAGAAGTCCTAATTTCAGACTATATATGATTTATTGTCGAACTCTTTTTTATTTCTCACAGAAAAATGATATTTTTCTCTAAAGGCTGGGGATGCACCAATTCTTAGAACATGATTTCAAAGAGGATATTTTTTCCTATTAAAATTACAGTTACTTGTGGACTTTTTATGTCATTTAAAACCAACTTTTTTCGCTCTATCCGAATCTATAGTCGAAATTCATGGAATGTGAAACAAAGGTTTCAGAATTGGTCTGGAATTGATCAAAACTGGCAATTTTTAGTTTTTTTCGACCAATTCCAAACCAATTCCAACTGATTTTAAAATCCATGTTTTGTATTGGACAAAAACTAAAAATAGATTCTGAAAGAGCATTTAAAACTGATCAAAATCGGCATGAAGAAACACTCATAGTTCAA